AAAGTTAAAGCAAATTGGGAAGCTAAATTATAAACTAGAATTATCGTTTGTTTGTAATTAAGCATAATGGGCTGTCTGTGCTCTTCCCACTACGGGTATCGAAACCCGGTTTCTAGCGGTATAAGTCCTCAGACATACCGCTGTGCCACTGGGGGAGGGGGGCACATAAACTAGAATAATACAGATATATTAAGAATACGAAGGTTTTATAGCAATATTTATTTTCTTTTTTGTTAGATATGGCAAAACGGTTAATTCAGTTACTGGAATTGCACACATTCTTGAATGGTTCTATTTGTCTTTATAAAAGACAAGTTGAGGTACCCGTCCTTTGTCTGGGTTGTGAACTTAAAATGTGGGGGTAGATGCTATGATAAATAACACATAAATCCTAACTTTCACACAACTGATTTATAACATAACATATTATTACAATATTCACTATTACCTCACCAAACGTTCTGTATAAGCTTTAAGAACTCACAATGTATATCAGTGGTTCCCAACCTTTTGTGGCCCTTGCACCCCCCTAAAGAAGCTCTCGCATCTCTCACCTAGAAAGTGTGAGTTTGTGCGCACACGTGCACTTAAAGCAACTTCGTTTACCCTTTACTATACAACCGTTTTGTGATGGAAGTTGAAGTCTGCAATATACTAAAACCCAAGCTTTCATTGAAGCAACTACTAAGTTTTGTTTCTTAACTTAAACGATGTGAAACCAAGTGACCGCCATTTAAAAGCTGTTATCTATCTTTTCATTCCTTTGTTTGATACGCAGTTCGTATGTTATGTAACTGATCTTTGTGTAAAGCTTGTTTTCGTGCCATTTCTTCTACTAGGCCTAATCGGACCTAAATGTTATCTAACATAAAAAGCATAAACTTAGATGTATAAATAAAAATATTGACCCGCGTGTAAAGTTCCATTTTGTGTATTTCTTCTAGTAGACATAACTGGTCTGACGAAAGCAAGGACGGCAAACATTTGTGTTGCTTACTATGTAATAAAAGGGTTTTATATTACTGTCTACACTGAGACTGCTGGAAAGATGTTATTTAGTGTAAGCTGTAGGTGATAACAGTACTAAGATGGGAAATAGGGTTTGTTTGTTTTTGAATTTCGCGCAAAGCTACACGAGGGCTATCTGCGCTAGCCGTCCCTAATTTAGCAGTGTAAGACTAGAGGGAAGGCAACTAGTCATCACCACCCACCGCCAACTCTTGGGCTACTCTTTTACCAACGAATAGTGGGATTGACCGTCACGTTATAACGCCCCCACGGCTGAAAGGGCGAGCATGTTTGGTGGGACGGGGAGATAGGGTTACCAGCAAATTTAAGTAATTAGTTCTAATGATATTGGTTCTAATGGTAATGATATATAAGTCTATTTTTTAATTTATACTTTGGTGACAGATTTTCTTGTAGGCAGATTTTGTTAAACAAGACCAATGTCTGTAGGTTTACTTTCTTCTTAGAATTCTTCTCAAGAAGTCGATAAGCCGT